ACTGGGATGGACTGGGAATGGATTGGGATGGACTGGGAGGGACTGGGAATGGACTGGGATGGACTGGACTGGGATAAACTGGGAGGGACTGGGAATGGATTGGGACAGACTGGGATGGACTGGGATGGACTGGGATAAACTGGGAGGGACTGGGAATGGATTGGGACAGACTGGGATGGACTGGGATAAACTGGGAATGGATTGGGATGGATTGGGATGGACTGGGATGGGAATGGGGGGGTCTGGGGGGTGGGGGAGGAATTCCCAAAGGGTTCCCAGTTTAATCCCAGTTGCTCCCAGTTGGATTTCCCACTATCCTCAGTCTCTCCCAGTACCAATAGAGGTTTCCAGCCCCATTCCCAGTTAATCCCAGTTTAATTTCCCATTATTCCCAGTACTCCATTTCCCATTATTCCCAGTACTCCCCAGTTCTGAACAAGCTGTTCCCAGTTAATCCCAGTTAATCCCAGTTCAATTTCCCATTATCTCCAGTCTCTCCCGGTACCAATGGACATTCCCAGTTCATCCCAGTTTAATTTCCTGTATTCCCAGTACTCCCCAGTTCTGAACAAGCTCATCCCAGTTCATCCCAGTTCAATTTCCCATTATCCCCAGTACCAATGGACATTCCCAGTTAATCTCAGTCTCTCCCACTGTTCCCAGTACTCCCCAGTTCTGAATAAGCCGTGTCCAGTCAATCCCAGTTCATCCCAGTTAATCCCAGTTTAATTTCCCGTTATCCCCAGTACCAATGGACATTCCCAGTCAATCCCAGTTAATCCCAGTTTACTTTCCCATTATTCCCAGTGTCTCCCAGTACTAATGAAGGTTCCCAGTTAATCCCAGTTTAATTTCCTGCATTCCCAGTACTCCCCAGTCCTGAACAAGCTCTTCTGCCGTCCGGCCAAGCCGTGTCCAGTTCATCCCAGTCCATCCCAGTTAATCCCAGTTTAATTTCCCGTTATCCCCAGTTCTAATGAAGGTTCCCAGTTAATCCCAGTTTAATTTCCCATTATCCCCAGTACCAATGGACATTCCCAGTTTGTTCCCAGTTAATCCCAGTCTCTCCCATTATTCCCAGTACTCCCCAGTTCTGAACAAGCCGTTCCCAGTTAATCCCAGTTTAATTTCCTGTATTCCCAGTACCAGTGGACATTCCCAGTTAATCCCAGTTTAATTTCCTGTATTCCCAGTACTCCCCAGTCCTGAACAAGCCGTGTCCAGTTAATCCCAGTCTGATTTCCCATTATCCCCAGTTCTAATGAAGGTTCCCAGTTAATCCCAGTTTAATTTCCCGTTATCCCCAGTACTAATGAAGGTTCCCAGTTCATCCCAGTTAATCCCAGTTTAATTTCCTGTATTCCCAGTACTCCCCAGTTCTGAACAAGCTCTTCTGCCGTCCGGCCAAGCCGTGTCCAGTTAATCCCAGTTCATCCCAGTTAATCCCAGTTTAATTTCCTGTGTTCCCAGTACTCCCCAGTTCTGAACAAGCTGTTCCCAGTTAATCCCAGTTTAATTTCCCGTTATCCCCAGTACCAATGGACATTCCCAGTTAATCCCAGTTTAATTTCCCGTTATCCCCAGTACCAATGGACATTCCCAGTTAATCCCAGTTTAATTTCCTGTATTCCCAGTACTCCCCAGTTCTGAACAAGCTCTTCTGCCGTCCGGCCAAGCCGTGTCCGGTCCAGGTCCGCGTGGCCGCCCCTCCCCCGCCCGGGGCCGTGCTCAGAGCTTTGGCCATTTA